AAGAAGAAGAAGAAGAAGAAGAAGAAGAAGAAGAAGAACAACAACAAGAAAAAGAACAAGAACAAGAACAAGAACAAAAATAGTTGTAATATAGTAATAGACTGCATATACAGCGCTCTACATCAAACTAGAATTAATTAGAACAACTGATGTTCACTTCAGTTTCACTTCACGTTTATTCATTCATTACATATTATAACATTGAAAGGAGAGTCCTCGTTTAGTATTTCCTGACTGAAAGTGTTCTATTTATATATTTAGGTTTATGTTACTACGTTACCTTAGAATTACACAGATTTATATGCTCAGTACCTAATTTTTAGAAATATGTCGTAAAAAAATTAGTTTCCTAAAATGTCAAGGTTTTTCGAAAGCGTTTCCTAAAATGTCAAGGTTTTTCGAAAGCAATTTTTGGAATTTCTTGATGACGACTCCGAATAATCTGACAATTGTACAAGTTCACAAAAAAAAAGATGAGAGGAAAGACAAAAAGACTAAAAAAGAAGAAAAAATGAACCCGCTCAAAGTAGAAATTGATTGCACAAGTTCACAAAAAAAGAAGAAAAGAAGATGAGAGGAAAGACAGAAAGGCTTAAAAAAAAACCCCAAAAAAACAGTGAACCCGCTCAAAGTAGAAAAAAATTGTTATACAACACTAATAACACAGCCTCTGACTAAGCTGCGTAAATACACGTTCCCTCTAAATCTGGACTCCCCCCTCCTTCCAGAGATAACTGCACAATTAAAGAGCAGGACAATCATCGCTTCTGGGGGAAACATGAAGAGAAATGGGGAAGGGGGGGGGTAGGAGTGGAGAAGTGAGGTGGGAGTGGAAGGGGAGAGGTGAGGTGGGAGTGGGAGGGGAGAGGTGAGGTGAGAGTGGGAGGGGAGAGGCGAGGTGGGAGTGGGAGGGGAGAGGCGAGGTGGTGGTGGGTGGACAGATTGCTGCTCACCATCTCGTCAAATTGTACACTTCCGGTGTTCCGGTGGGCTGCAGACATAAATGGCCTCCGGGAATTCTGGGTAGAGTGTTCGTCTGCAAATTTATTTGATCAAAGACAGCTCTCGTTTTGGGTTGGCGAACCTGTCCTACTGGCATCGTGGTTGACATTTGCTCAACGATCCCAGTGTCTCCATCCTTTACCCCCTAACCCCCGGCCACCCGCCCCCCAACCCAGCCACACTTGTCTGCCCCATTCCCCTCCCCCTTTCAGTTTGATCCCCTTTCTCCTAATCCGCCTTATTCCAACTGTTTCCCAGTTTGTAAAGGATTTGCTTTGTCC